GTTAATTTCTGAGTTCTCCGTGTTATCCTATACTTATCAATCATACATTGATATGTAGAAAATGCAAGTTCCAAGAACCCATATATTCCCCAGAAGTGGAAATTGAAGTATTTAAGGGCAAAGAAAGAAGTGGACATGATAACAAGAAGATTGGTTTTGTATGTTACCATTGTAATGGAAAATAGCATTTGTCTCGTACATGTTGCACGCAAAAGACCTTATTCTACCAAGAATCAAAGGGAAAAGCTAATTCATATACACTCCTGCAATATCAATATTATGGAACATATTTTTTGTATTATAAGTTGATATATTCTCCATTAAAGATGAAAATGATATCACTTGAGAAATTTTCATTTCAAGAAGTGAATGAAATCATCTATTCTCCGAAGTGAATAGAGCTATTAACATAATTATATATATGTTAACTGTATTGTTTGGATCTTTTCACTAGAAGTGAGAAAAGAGGAGTAAAAGGAGAACTATAAATAAGGATGACACCACAATTGCATTATCAAAGTCATGATAACATAATGTACCTGTTGTACATTATAATGTATAATGAAACGCATCTATAAATTTAAAATCACCTAGTTAGTGATGGTATTGTTCCAAATAAATCTTATTTAATTTTCACAATTGTAGTATTATGATTCTAATTTCTTTTATATTTTATTATGACGTTATTTTTCATGCATAATTTAATTTGATAACCTTTATCTAGAACAATTAACTTGATAAATTCATCATTTTTGTCGTAAGTTTGAAATATTCTCATTTATTACTTTTATTATGTTTTTATAAAGTATGAGTATTAGAAAAATTCCATATAAACTATATGGTAGAGTACATAAATAAGAAAAAGCTTCCGAAGAGCTTATGTTTGGTTACTTGAAGTAACTAAATTATGTACTCGTGATAACAATTTGTGATGATATTCACTATGAATTTGTGTTTACTAAGAATGCATCAAATCATAAGTCCCCGGAAGGGTGGAATATCGTAAAGCTTTAAAGGAGCTAATTTTATGGCCTGAAGGAACCAAACTACCTAGTGATGATGCATTACCCAATTAAAAGGATATTCGTAAAATGAATATCTTATCAAGAAAATAGTGAAACTAATATTTGCATCACAAATATGTACTACATGTATATTAGTACAATCAGTACACATAAAAGTGTAAACCAGAAGTTTACAAGATTTGATAACTTGATAATTGGTTGGTTCGGTTAGACCATCCCGGATCTTGATGTGAAAAAAAGTTCTTTGAGAATTCATGAGAACGTCATATGAGAAGTCAAAGAAATCTTCAACTAAAAGAGTTATTATAGCATGCTTGTTTTCAAGGAGAATAGAACAATTAATAATCACTTGTAAAAGAGTTGATAAATCTCTTGAGATTTTATGGACATGTATGCAGAATAATACATCAATAATGTGGATGATTTGTGAATTTTATGGGTTGATGCATCAAATGGATGATCACATGTATTTTATCTAATCGCAACCCGATGTTTGCGATATTGGTTGCCTCACTAGCTAAGGATACATTGTTGAGCCTTCCGATCTCTTGTCGAGGACATGCTAGCTGGCAAGTGATAGTATTGGTTCGCATCTAACCAACAAGTTCATAAGTTTCCCCCCTTTTACAAATGATTTTGGTCAAAAACCTAACATTTCTCATATGAGAATATTAGGGTGTGCCGCATACATCCCAATTGCTCCACCACAGTATCTTAAGTTGATTCTCGTTGGAAATTGAGAATTTGTGTTGGGTATGAATCCCAAAAGGGAAATTTTTTTGCGAAATTATTGTTTTGATAAATCACTTTTCCAACATTAAGGGGGAGAGGAAAAACAACTACACAAAGAGATTAGTTGGAATGAGTTATCAATATTTAATTTTGATCCTCAAAGTTAGAAACATGAACCTGAAGTTCATAAGATGAATTGCATTACCAACTAGCAAATGCATTTACTGACCATACAAAGTCACCAAGTCACGTATACTAGTTGTGAATGCTCCAACAAAATTTTATATCCTTGTTGGATACTCTAATATTAAAAATGTGTCTAAAAGAGAGCATGAAGCGTGATAGACCAATCGGTTCCAATGATAAACATCCTCGAGAAAGAAAAGGAGCTGTAATAGAATGGTCAACTCGAGAACATGAAAACTCAAGAAGAGTAACCAAGAATAAAATATAATTTTAGTTCCAGAAGAACACATGTCTCTGAAAGTTGTGAAAGCGAAGAGATCTCAAAACCATATTAGACTACAATACTAGAACCGTAATGAAATCATTGTCGATGAAATTTGTTTGTTGTACTTCAGTACTGAATATGATATGTACAAGTGAGGATCAAGAGTAAAACTCTATTGATGCATGCAAATGATGATGTTATTAGCCAATATAGAAAGAAATCATGAAACTTGCGCAAGGAGCATAAAGTTTAAGGACCAGAAGTCCTTGCACATAAAAAAGGGCAAAACTAGCGGGATACAAACAAATTTTTGTGCTATTGGAAAGTATGAAATTGTGAGAGATCGCATAATGTTTTGCAATGGGTTCCTCGAAGAGCTATCATTGTTTAAGAGGAGTTATACTTCCCTGTGGTGGATGCAACTACTTTTTCAAATCGATGTTTGAAAATTGTTGTGATAGCCTATTTGTTTGAATTCCTTGAAGATTTTAAATATATTTGAAAATCCTAGAAGGATTAATTACTCCTAGAAGGATTAATTTACCTGAAGTAAACAAGTAAAGTTCTCGAGAACATATATAGATAGACTAAGAAAATCCCTTGTGTGGGTTGAGACAATATAGACGAATGTGAAATACTCGTCTAAGTGAACACCTACAACAGTAGGGTGAATGGACCTTAAAAGGTTAAATTTAAATAGAGTGCATACGAGTATTTGCATTGTGCATATGTAGTTGTGTTGTCTGTATGTGTTTTAAGGATTTTAAATTCTTGATTTATGAGTTGTGATTTACTTTAAAGTATGAGTTGTGTTTTATGAGTGTGCTTTGTCTAGTTCATATGTTTCTATGATGTGAGTTTTTTTTATTATCTTTCGTTATATGAAGAATTGCTTGCATCAATTTGTGTTAGTTAAGTTTTTTTTGTTGTGAGGATCTCATATTATGTTGATGATATGACTATTATTGGATCTCCTGAAGAGCTTCCTAAAACAGTTGATTTCTTAGAGACATAAGTTAAATTGAAGGATTTAAGATCCTTTTTATGGGCAAGGAAGGTAATGTTGAAAAAGTGGGAAAATAATTTTGCATGAACGAATTATGTTCATCAAATAACATTAGGATCCTAAGATCACTAGAAGTGACCAAAGATCCATTTAGAAATCAAGAAAGAAGTGAAACATTAGGTCCTAAAGTACCATATGTTGATGCATTAGAGCACCAATGCACCTTGCTAGCCAAACGCTATATAAACTATCATTTTGGTGTTGATAATATTGGCAAGATACAATGTTTCCCTCATTACAACATTGTAAAATACTTTGTTACCTCTGGGAACAATATATGCGATTGTTCTATTATGGTATTATCAAAGAGAGATTTGGTAAACTATATATCCAAATCCTATATATCATTTGATCCTCATATTGGTTGATCGGAGACGAGCTATCTCTTACATGTGGTGATATAAATGTTTCATAAAGAAACAAAACAAACTATAATGGGCAAGTCCTGAATGTCTTTCGTTACACTTTGTGATCCACCATATCTCAAGTACTTGTGGTCGTGAAATATTTTCAAATGAAATGATCCTGACGATCATGTATGAAGAAAATCTAAAGATCATGCATCAAATTGACAATCTAGAAGATTGTTCACTAACTCACTCCCGACAACAATCTTTCTAAAAGTTGTTCGTGAAATTTGAGTTCAACGACTCAATAATCTGAAGTGATGTAGTCATGAGGGGAGCATATACGCACTGCACTCTTTTTCCCTTAACCATGGTTTTTTCCCCAATGGGTTTTCTTGGTAAGGTTTTTAACAAGGCAGTATGAGATAGCGTAATGCAATCTAGTGGACATCCAAGGAGGAGTATTATGTAAATATTGATATATGGATGAATGACCTACCACATTAGATGCTCACGTGGGAGTTACATGTAACCCCTATTTCTACATCATTATCTCTCATTCATATGCATTGATATAAGGATGTAGTGGTTACCAAAATGTGCTTATAAATATAGCACACTATTGTATCAAAAGTGAATAATGAATAAGAAGAACTTTTCCCCTCTCTTCTCTTGTGTCTTTTCCTCTCTAATATTCTCTTGTAGGTGTTTATATTTTCCATTAGTTTTATAACATATCCATATTAGTTTCACTGCATGGTTGTCATGCCGGTGGCATGCCACCCGGTTAAACCTGGTTCAACCTGTGCCGGTCATGAAACTGGCATGACACCACCGGTATGACCGACATGATCGACTTAACCATTCTAAGTAAAATGACATCATTTTAATGAATTTAATGAATAAAAAATTAATTTATTATTCATTTTATTAATGTAATAGTTTTTTTTTTGTTGGATGATATTTGTTGGATTATTAATGTAATAATGTAATAGTTAAAAGTTGATGATATTTGTTGGATTGTAACTAAATTGTCCACAAATATGTTTTATATATGATTAGATATATTGGATATTCATTGTTTTCATATTTTTTTGAACCAGCATGAACCGGCACAAACTAATTATACCACCGGTCGTACCATTCTACTTGTCAAACCGGTACAACGGTATAAACCGGTTTGACAACCTTCTTTCACTTATTTTTTTGTCCCTAGCTAGGAAACTAGCAGAAGTTTCCTTCTTTCCGCTGATTCCCATTTCGCGGTACCCGACCCATATTCCCGCCCGCCCAGTGCCCACCCCCACTTGGGTTCGCTCAGCTTTCACGTGCTCTTTCTCTTAGCTTGCTCCCATGGTCATTCCTTCTTTCCTCCTCCCCTCTCTCTCTCTCTCTCTCTCTCTCTTTCGCTTTCGCTTCTAGCTTATTCTTTTTCTGGGCAGAGAGAGCTCTCGGGAAAGTTGTCAGTTCATGAGGTATGGAGCACAAAGTTGGAACCTTTTTCATCTCCAGCTGAGCTAAAACCAGAAGGGTTATCTATTATCATCACTTCATTTGCTGATTTCTTGAACTGGTTCTCACTGTGAATTTAAGAGATTTAGGGTGAGGTATTATTTTTGCCTACTTTGGTTGGTCTCCTTTTTTGAAATCCTTGGTTCTATCTCTTTTTGGGATTTGTTTTCATTAGTTAATTGCAGGTGGTGGGTTTAAAGTTCAGCAAGACTAATGATTCCAGGGTTTATTGGATTCCAAGCAAAAAAAGGTTTGAAGTGGGAGGTGGGTCTTTTGGAATTGATTTTTACTGGAATAGTAAAACCAAGCATGGTTTAGGTCTCCATGGAAGTTCATTTACATGGTTGGCTGAAGGGTAGAAGGTAGTTTTTTAAGAAAGTTCAGAGGGAGAAGATGAAGAGGAAGGAGACTCAAGATTCAACATCAAGCTCCACAACAAATGGAAGAGCAAGGAGCAGCTGCTCAGCTCAATCAAGACAATCAGCACGTGCCAAAATTGATCAAACTCCAATCGATGCAAAGCTAGATGAGGAGTTTGAGGAATCGGAGCAGCACGCCTTTGACTACTCCACCTCGGTTAACCTCAACGCCTCAAATTCCACCGGCAACAATGTCCCTTCATCTGAAGCAGTCTCAGCATACCTCCAGAAGATGCAAAGGGGCAGGCTCATTCAGCCATTTGGCTGCTTAATTGCTGTTGAGGAACAAAGTTTCAAGGTCCTAGCTTACAGTGAAAATGCTCAGGAGTTGCTGGACTTGGCACAGCTTGCTGTTCCAAGCATGGGGCAGCAAGAGGCACTTGCTTTCGGTATGGATGTTAGAAGATTCTTTCGTTCATCTGGTTCAGCTGCCTTGCAGAAGGCTGCGAATCATCCAGAACTCAACCTCCTCAACCCGATTTTAGTCCACTGCAAGACTTCAGGCAAGCCGTTCTATGCCATCCTTCATAGAATCGATGTTGGGTTGGTTCTTGATCTTGAACCGGTTAATATGTCCGACCTGCCATTGACTGCTACTGGTGCATTGACTTCTTACAAGATTGCTGCTAAAGCCATCTCGAAACTACAATCTGTACCTAGTGGAAGTATAAATCTGTTATGTGATGTTCTAGTGAACGAACTTCGGGACTTAACAGGTTATGATAGAGTAATGGTGTACAAATTTCACGATGATGAGCATGGTGAGGTTGTTGCAGAATCTGTTAGGTCTGACTTGGAGCCGTATCTTGGGTTGCATTATCCCGCTACTGATATCCCTCAAGCTTCGAGGTTTCTGTTTATGAAGAATAAAGTTAGAATGATATGCGACTGCTTAGCTCCTTCTGTAAAGGTAACACAAGATAAGAGCTTGGCTGAGCCAATTAATCTCTCCAGTTCAACTCTAAGAGCTCCACATGGGTGCCATGCTCAATACATGGCTAACATGGGTTCCATTGGATCGCTAGTCATGTCTGTTACTATTAATGATAATGAAGATGGGAATGACATGGAAAGTGATCTGCAGATGGGGAGAAAGCTGTGGGGGTTGGTTGTTTGTCATCATACAACGGCGAGATTTGTTCCATTTCCGTTGAGGTACGCCTGTGAGTTCTTGATTCAAGTTTTTGGTGTTCAGATTAGTAAAGAAGTGGAGATTGAAGCTCAGAGGAAAGAGAAGCACATCATACAAACTCAAACTTTGCTCTGTGACATGCTTCTTAGAGATGCTCCTGTAGCAATTATGACTCAGAAACCGAATGTAATGGATCTTGTTAGATGTGATGGAGCTGCACTTCTCTATAGGAAGAAATGTTGGCTGCTGGGAGTTTCCCCGAGCGCTGAACAGATGAAGGATATGGTGGAATGGTTGCTTGAGTATCATGGTGATAGCACAGGGTTAACTACGGATAGTATTATGGAAGCCGGTTATCCAGGAGCTTCAGTTCTTGCTGATGCAATTTGTGGCATGGCTGCTATAAGGATAACTTCAAGAGACTTCCTCTTTTGGTTTAGATCTCACACGGCGAAAGAGATCAAGTGGGGTGGTGCGAAACACGACCCTGATGATAAGGACGGTGGTCTGAGAAAGATGCAGCCGAGATCTTCATTCAAGGCATTTCTAGAGGTGGTTAAGTGGCGGAGCTTGCCTTGGGAGGATCTTGAAATGGATGCTATTCATTCTTTACAGCTGATATTGAAAGGCTCATTGCAAGATGAAGATTTGGTCAATGATGATTCGACAGTGATTGTTCGTGTTCCTCCATCATCGTCTGATAAGAGAATCCAGAGGGTGGATGAGTTGAGGAGAGTGACGAATGAGATGGTTCGTGTAATAGAAACGGCTGCTGCTCCCATCTTTGCTGTTGATGGTTCAGGTTGTGTAAATGGGTGGAATTCAAAAGCAGCCGAACTTACTGGATTGAGTGTAGAACAAGCAATTGGAGTGCCTTTGGTTGATATTGTCGACGGCGACTCGATTGATGTGGTCAAATCTGTTCTGTTGTTAGCTTCTGGAGGTGATTCTATTAATTTTGGTTTATGTTCTATATGAATTGAGTCATTATAATTGTTCTTTTTGGTAAAAACGAAAGAATAATGAAATTCTAAGTGTATGTTTGTAAACCAAAATAAAATAATTTAGGCTTGGTATTGGTTTCGGTTGTTGATTTGCAAGTTCGTTGTTTTGGTTTTGTTTAAACAACCAAACTAAAAAAACTTTATTGAGCCTAAATGGCTATTTACCCATTGTGATACTTATTGAAAATTACTAAAATTTAGTTGACTTATTAGTTATTACTGAAATTTGTTGTAATTTAAGGATGTTGAACTTCATGCTTAAACTTCTACTAATTTTGGCCAATCTGTTGTATCATTTGCTTCATCTGGTTACCTAGAACAGAAACCAATCTCACCATGCAATGCCTTTACACTTTCTTTTCCGGCAAGTCATATCTTTCTTCATTTCTTACCATTAGTGGATGTAATCTGATCCCTCACAACTTCATAATGACAGGCAAAGAAGAGAAGAACATGGAAATCACCTTCAGAACGTTCGGTCCTAAGGAAAACGATGGCCCGGTCTATCTCGTGGTTAGTGCATGCTGCAATAGAGACGTCAAGGGAGTGATAGCAGGGATCTGCTTTGTCGGGCAAGATCTCACTCGACAGAAGATGGCCATCGATCAATACAACCATGTCAAGGGAGACTACCTAGGAATCATTCGGAACAAGTCTTCCCTCATACCCCCCATTTTTATGAGCGACGAGCATGGCAAATGCATAGAGTGGAATGAAGCAATGCAGAGTTTAACTGGCTTGAAGAGGGAAGAAGCTGTCGATCGATTACTTCTCGGTGAAGTTTTCTCCGCTGGTGATACCTCTGGCTGCTGCCGGGTCAAAGGTCATGACACTTTGACCATGCTAAGGATCTTACTGAACCAGGCACTCGCGGGCCAGGATTCGCAGCCATTGTTGTTCAGTTTATTTGATCAGCATGGTAAAGATCTCGACGCTGTAGTTTCTGCAAACGGGAGAACCAATGGTGCAGAGGGTCGAGTTTCTGGCGTGCTATTCTTTTTATACGTACCGAGCAGAGAATTACAGTATGCTCTTCAGGTCCAGAAAATCTCGGAACAGGCTGCATCTACTAGTCTCAACAAGCTTACGTATGTTCGTCAGGAGGTGCAGAAAGGCTTGAATGGTTTGTCATTTATGCATAATCTAATGAACAGTAGTGCAGATTTGAACGAAGAGCAGAAGCAGCTTCTCAAGACAAACAATTTATGTCACGAACAGTTGACCACGATAGTCAACGACACTGATATTGAGAAGATTGAAGAACTGTATGTTCTTCCCCAAAGATTGAAACTCTTATTGCAGTACAAGTTTTATTTGATACTCTTCCATTGACCTGTTTTTGTTTCATTGCAGGTATCTGGATCTTCGAACTGTAGAATTTAATCTTGCGGAAGCTTTAGACGTGGTAATGAAGCAAGCAATGATATTGAGTCGAGAACGAGGAGTTAAGGTTGTTTGTGATTTCCCAGGTGAAGTGTCGTCCATGAACTTGTATGGAGATAACTGGAGGCTTCAGCAAGTTCTGGCTGATTTCTTGACGAATTCAATACTCTTCACCCCACGGTTCAATGAATCATCAGTGTTGTTTAAAGTAGTGTGCCGGAAGGAACGAATGGGAGTTAAAGTGCAGATTGTCCACCTCGAGTTTCGGTATGTTTGCTCGATTCAAGTTTCTCGGTTGAACATAAAGTTACAGTATTTTAATTGACCTTCTGTATGTTACTGATTGCTCGCAGAATAAGCCATCCAGCCCCTGGTGTGCCTGAAGATTTAGTACGGGAGATGTTTCACTCCCGGGGTAGAGGTACCTCGAGGGAAGGTCTCGGCCTTTACATGAGCCACAAGCTTGTAAAGGTCATGAATGGAAATGTGCAGTACCTCAGAGAAGCAGAAAGTTCATCGTTCATTGTTCTAATTGGGCTCCCTCTTGCCACCCGGATTGATCCATTGAAGCAGCCCCCGAGGCTTAAAGAGTCGGGATGATGATGAGTGGAAGAATATATACATCCATACAACTTTTAAGAAGGTACAAGGGACCAGGATGCCTTGTGCTGCAAGTAACCTTGCTTAGACTATATATATATATATTCCTTTTCTGGCTATCCAAGCATTTCGTGGGATGTGAATCTGCGGGGAAGCCGAGAAATACGGGCAGTTACCACGGGAGAGCTGCAAGTGCAGGCTTGTTACATTGTATACTCTTTTACTCTGTTATGAGTTGTAACTTGTAAGAATGGTAGTATGATGCGAGTGGCGATTCTTTTGTTTTTTTAGTTTAACGTTCCAATGAGAAGCTTAAGCTTCGAATCTGCCTTTCCTGTTCGTTGGATGAGCTTAATCGGCCAAAGTTATGGCATCTCTAAAATGGGGTTTTCGTGAAGGGGAGATGATTTGTTTCCTCTTGGAGATACAGCCAGGAAATGGATTCTGAACCGTGTAAATATATCTTGCAAATGATGTGCAGTAATGTTCTGTCATGTGCATTGATTTTTTACGTGCAAATTTAGACGAGGATATATAGCTCGAAAGCGGAGAACAAAATTTCATTTATTCACATCAAGCTTTCGCGGGGAACAAGAGCTGTTATAGATGTTTTTTTATGGAAGATTGAATTACGGGCGAGGAGTGAGTGGTTTTATGTGAATTTGAGTGGGTTTGGAATCACCCACTACGTGGTGGGTGAAGGAGAAAATGACCATATTCATATACCATACCCATCCAAGCATTACATGTGGGTGGGTTGGGGGATTGCGGATGATTTGTGGTTGGGTCGATTCGGTGAGTGAACAATATATAACTCATATGAATCTCATAATTTCAATAGTTTTAAACTTAAAATGAAAGAAATTTTTAAACTAAATAACTCTTGCTCCACAAATTAGGTGAATCATTATTTTACAATATTGGTATTGGTAATTGTCACAAATTAAAAAATATTCAACCGATAAAAATGGTCCAAACCCGATAATAACCAAGGTTCAAAAAGGCACTAGGAATAAGGAAAACGTTTTGGTCTTGCCAAGCGCCTCATACGCCTAGGCATTATGAGCATAAATAGCTTTTTAACCTATAATCGCATATTACAATTCCAAATGTATGGAAGGAATGAAGGACGAATTAGTGGTTGTTTGAGACAGTGCCATTTTGTGGAAGAACAACTGTCTTTTTCTGTCATTTTGTCTACTAGTTATGTTTAAGCGTACCTCCAATTGCCTAAGCAAACCTCACAACACAATCCTTGATCGGAATCGAGAGGAATTTTTGTGGTTTTAAGGGTTTCATTTTCAATAATACTATATGTTAGAGCTTTGAAGGTTTGAGGTTAAAAAGTTGGGTGGGCCCACGGTCAACCATAGTCCACCCGCACCCACCCAATCTTTTGTGGGTCACCTATTTTACAATCCACACCCACCTCGAAAACCACCCACTTGAAAATGGGTGGGTCGATTGCGGGTGGATTTGTGGGTTCAACTATCCATGCTCACCCCTAGATTGAATGGTGCATCAGACGGAAAATATAACGAAAAAGGGAATATAAGAAGTTGGACACATTTTTTAGGGAACTTCTATTTAACGTCCTAACATTTTAACTTTAATGCTCTATACTTATCCAAACATACAATTTTGCCTCCAACTAATTCCTAGGAGAGTTACTAATTAACGCCCTAAAATTCAAAAACCATTGCTCTGAAATTACATATTTGATCCTAATCCCTAAAACGTACTGAAATTATCATTGCCCTATATCATGACGCTCGACCGTCAAAGCCACCACCTCTATTGCTACACCGCCCCCCAAATCCCCCTCGTACAGGATTTTGTAGGGGCTTTCTTTCTCTTTCTACCCTCCAATTTCATTTTCCTTATCCCTTCGAGATGAAATAAGGAAGAGGATTGGGAAGGTTATATTGAATGAATGATTGGTTGCAGCAACCATGTTTTCCCCCACCAAACCCTTTCCACTATCAACCAAGGATGCAGAGGATTCAAGCTTGGATTGAGAGTAATGCAACTGCTCGGTGGAAACGAAAAACAGAGCTGGAGAAGAAACATTTCTTCCATTGCTTCTCCACCAACATAAGTGAAGGACGAGACGACAACGTTTAGCCCTGAACTTACCGTATGGAGAAAGCCAACGCCAACGCCAACGTAGACGAGACATGTGGCGGCTTATTTATTGTTTTATTTAAATCACTGTTGAACTTCCCTTTTCATTTTACTGTTTGTACGAACTTTACCTTTACCAGTCATATATAAACGAAAGGAAGGAGGACCTTGCCTCCTTGCGGGTTTCCAACCCACACCTCCTCTATTCTTTCTTCCTTCAAACCCTAGCTCATTGAGCTTTTCTACATGGTATCAGAGCCGGACAAGGTCAAGTGATTTGCAATGGCAAACAACCAAACACCACGAACCCCAGGTGGCATTTCGCTGAACAGTGGTGCTATTCCTTTTGGCACCTTTGACGCGCAGTCAAACACTACCAACCATGGCAACAACAACAACGATGGCAACGGACGTGCAAATCTTCTATTTGGTAATCCCTATTATATAAGCCCAAATGAGAATATCTCAAAGTCGATTGTCTCTGAGAACTTAGATGGCCCAAACTATCAGATGTGGCAAAGGGCAATTCGTATGGCTTTGAAAACCAAACACAAGATTGGATTTATCGATGGATCCATCCCAATGCCTGATGTGGGAGATCAAAATTTTGGGTTATGGGATGCATCAAATACACTGGTTTTATACTGGAAATTCAATTGCTACGAAAATTAGACGTAGTGTTATGCAACATGAAAATGCTAGAGTTCTTTGGGAGGAATTGAAGAAGCATTTTGGTCTTCCTAATGCAATTAAGTTGGCCAACTTGCAAGATTAGATTACAGCCTGTAAGCAGGGTTCCTTGAACATTACCCAGTACTATACTGCATTCAAGGGATTGTGGGAAGAGAACCTTCAATTCAATACCATTGTTGAGTGTGATTGTGTCCCTCAAAGAACTCGACCATGTGCAGTTGTAGAGGCCTTCAAGAAGAAACAGTAGGTTGAATATCTGATTCGTTTCCTGAAAGGGTTAAGGCCAGATTATGATGTTGTCCACACACAGCTGTTAATGATGAAGCCACTCCCAATGTGGACAATGCAGTTGATTTGCTCCAACATGAACAAAAAATCAAAGGTGACAAAGGTGGAGTGACTAGAGGTGTTCAGACAGTTGCTCTAGTTGTGTTAGGCAACTCAGGGAATCAGCATAAACCTGCAGAAGGATCAGATGGCAAGAAATTCTGTAGGTACTGCAAAAAGGAGAACCACAGAATTATAGATTGTTATTGGCTCAAGAGGAAAAGGCCAGAATGGCAGGAGGAAATGTGTTAGCAGCTGTTTCCCAAAGTGATTCCTACACTGACAATGACACAACTAGTTTAGACACCAAAATGAGCATTGACACCAAGACATCCAATACAAGTTTTGGCTTGTCATATGAGGAAATGAACAAGCTCAAGTTCCTGCTCAACTCAGTCTCTCCTTCTTCTAGTCCTTCTCCACCTACATCACCATCACTGAATCATCATGCATTTTCTGTGGCACAAGATATTCCTCACTTTCCTAATTTTGCGCGTAAGTATATTCTTTCTTCCTACTTACAACATCAAACAAATGCTCTCATGGGAATATGGATACTTGATACTGGGGCTTCAGATCACATAGTCTGCAGCCAAGATCTTTTCATTGAGTCTACTCCAGTGCATAACCAATTTGTGTTCTTGCCTAATGGGACTAAAGTTGTTGTTAGTCATGTGGAAGAGTCAAACTACCTCATGATCTGATCCTTGATAATGTCCTCCTAGTGCCTAGTTTTCCCTTTAATCTAGTTTCTGTTAGCAAACTCACAAATGACATACCTATTTCCTTACACTTTGAATTTGATTCTTGCCAAATTCAAGACCTCATGACCCATAGCAGGAATGGTTTGGCACAACGGATTAGAGGCATCTATCAATTAAATTGAAGGACTTCACAACCTTATTCGACTCACTCCCAAGCAACAGCCACCTACAATTTCACCCCACAAAACATTGAACTATGGCACTGGAATCTAGAACATTTTCATAATGAGAAAGAGAAACTCTTAGTTCCATGTAATAGGACCTCAGTTTGAGACTTGTCATTATGCCAAACAGAAATGACTACCTTTCTCTGTTAGTTCTTCTCATTCACAGAATGCTTTTGCATTGATTCATGTGGATATATGGGGTCATATTGCTGTTAAATCCCATGAGGGTTACTCTTATTTCCTCACCATAGTCGATGACTACTCTATACGTGTTTGGACTTATCCGATGAAGTAAAAATCTGAGGCCAATAAGTTATTAGTCTCTTTTTGTGTGATGATTGCCAAACATGTCATAGTTATTAGAAGTGACCAAGGGGTTGAGTTCCACATGGCTGAATTCTATGCCACACAGGGTATTGAGTATCAATTATCCTGTGTTGAAACACCTGAGCAAAATGCTAGGGTTGAAAGGAAACATCAACACATTCCCAATGTGGCTCATTTACTTAGATTTCAAGAAGGTGTCCCCTTAGAATTCTGGAGTAATTGTATTCTTCATACTGTGTATCTCATAAATCGTATTCCCACTTTTTTGCTTGGAAATAAGTCAACTTATGAACTTCTTTATCACCAACCCCTAGTCTATCTGGCCTACGAGTGTTTGGTTGCCTTTGTTATGCTACCACACTCCATTGAGACAGAACCAAATTTGACAGTAGACCCAAAAAATGCATCTTCCATGGTTTCCCTTCTGGCGTCAAGGGTTGAGTGTGTGCAACGGTTCGGTTCGGTCCGGACCGGACCAAACTCACGAGAACCGCGGTCCATTAGTGAAAGACATGTTAGGACCAAGGACCAGACCATTCTTGCATTTGGTCCGGTTCGGTCCGGTCCAAATATGAGCTCGGTCCACCATTTCTTCAGTAATTATAAAAATCAGGAGGACCAAGGACCAGACCGCATTTTACTCGGTCTGGTTCGGTCCAGTCTTAACAACGGTTTGGTCCGGTATGGTCCGGTACGGACCGGACCATTGCACAGCCCTATCAAGGGCTATAAACTCTATGCTCTTAACACTCATTACTTCTTTATTTCACGAGATGTCACATTTTATGAAACAATTTTCCCTTTTCACACTACCTCTTCCACCACTCAGTCCACTCCTCTTCCAGAAAACTTCACACCTGCCTTATCACCAGTTCCCAACTTCATTCCTTCACCTGCTATTCCTTCTTCTTCCCATAATGTTCCATTTTTTCCCACACCATCACCATTGAAACAACCCGATGCTTTTCGAAAATCAAACCATAATTTAAACCAAAAACTGGTTACTCCGGAGCAACCAAATCACATTTAAAGGTCAAACCGAAAACCACCCAACGATAATATTCATAAACCTCAAATGAAAGCCATAAACACTTG